TGGAGCCAGCGTGGGCAAGAAAGTCTGTGAGGCTCTTCCTTCTGATTAATTACAAACAACAACAACAACAACAAAACAGAAATGGAGAGCCTTGAGTGAAAAAGCCAAGGAAGAGCGCAAGGCCTAGTACAAACAAAAGAAAAGCCTTATACGTTTACCCTTGTTACACACCTAGAACCTATATGACGTGTTTTTTTTTTAATGGTTTGCATCCTTCTTTAAATTGTGCAGTGTTTACATTTTTAAGATCAACATAGGTAAGAGTTCAAGGTATTTAACTCCCAAGACAAAGATGAGACTTTCCAAAAGAGTACAGGGCCTGGACACTGTCCCTGAGCTTCTTTGGCTCAAGGCTAGCACTCTACCATTTGAGCTACAGTACCATTTCCAGCTTTTTTTTCTGTGTATGTGATACAGAGTAATCAAACCCAGGGCCTCATCTTCATGCATGCTAGGCAAGTACTCTACCACTGAGCCACATCCCCAGCCCAAAGGTTTTGTTCTTTTTTTTGGGTCCGGTTGTGGGGCCTGAACTCTGGGCCTGGGCGCTGTCCCTCAGCTCTTCAGCTCAAGGCTAGCGCTCTACCACTTAAGCCACAGCGCCACTTCCGGCTTTTTTTTTTCTGCTTATGTGGTGCTGAGGAATCGAACCCAGGGCCTCATGCATTCAAGGCAAGCGCTCTACCACTGAGCCACCTTCCCAGCCCTGAGAGTTTTCTGTTGTGGTGTATTTAGACTTGCTTGCTTTGCTGTCTGGCAATACATGGCAGACCAAGAACATGACTTCAAAGGAGACTGCACTATCTCCTAATGCCTGTCTATTTGAACTATGTCTAATTTTAGGGAAATAAAATCAAGTCATTATTAAACCAGGAGACTCTGATCTCCAATGAAGCAGCAAAAAGCTGGGCGTGTGGCTCAAATGGTAGAGCACCAGCCTTGAGTGGAGTAAAGCTAAGGGACAGCACCCAGAACTGAATTCAAGCCTTAGTACCTGCCTCCCCCCAAAAAGAAGCCAGCTCTTAGTTTTTTATTTTTATTTAACAGTTCAATGCAGCCAATTAAGAGTCTATATCCAAATATTATATATGATATCCAGTTAACATCTGTGTGTATCACGGGTCATGTATTAATCATGCAGAGCAGGGCACACACAACTGAACACACAGCCCTGAAAAGGAGCTAACTCCTTCCCTACCTGTCTTTCACCATAGCTTTGTGCAGATGAAGTAAAGCGCTGAGATTTCAAGATTTAAACACAAAATCCCTACTATTGATGCTAACCACCAAATTCAGCATGTCGGAAAAAGAAAATCAGAAAAACCCACCGCCCCAGTTCCACCTTTCTTAGAAATGACTCCAGGGATGGGGAATGAGGCCAGTGCGGGTTCTAGGACCGTCAGCGCTTCCAGGCGGGATTTATGAATGGAAGCATGTGAGGGCCACTCTGGCGGCCGTGGCCCCACTTTCTCCCTGGGCTATTTATGGAGAGTGTTATGGCCAGTGGAAGGGGGAGGGGGGAGGGAGATGTTTATTTTTACAAGCCAGTCATGGCACAGAGGAAGAACGCCACTTCTGGTCTCTAGCAAAGTCACCCTCTTCGCCTCAAATGCAAGGAGGGAAATGCAAGGGGGAAAACTCCTTTCACCACCAGTAAGTCGGCCTGGACCAGCCCTGGAGATCCAACCACAGGGGTGAGGATGCGGCAGACAGACACAAGCGTTTCCCGGGTATGCCTGGGAGATGCTGTTCCTTGATATGTCACCTAGATCACGACTAACAATATGTATATATGTATACACACACACACATTACATAATTCAGTTCCAAACATTAATGCCAAAATAGATCGTATAGAGCAAAGGCTTGAATTCCTCTGGGTTATCAAACAGTTGAATACAATAAAGTAAAACCGAATTGTCACGGATGTAGCAAAAATGGAGAGGATAGCAAAGTATGGGAAAGGTTATTTTTTTTTTCTGATTGCCAAATTATTCTCACCCCTGCCCCCCAAAAACGTGTGAGAAACCTGAACAGTCCCCGGCAAATGCAGACCCAGTAAATCTTGGCTTCTAAAACAGCATGCCCTGTCTCCCTCTAGAAATCTGACGTCACTTAGCCAACAGCCTGCTTCGTGGAGAAAGATCACCCCTGATCTTAAGTACTGTACGTGATACCTACTTGCGCTTATGAAGCGGAGTCACGTTTTAACTGGTGTGTCACTTTGCCCAACAGTCTAGGTGGTATACAGCAGCTCAGGTAGGAGCAACACGGGGAAGTGAGGGAGGAAAAGCCGAGGGGGGCAGAAGGCAGGCCCCCGCTCTGTGTGGAAGCCTTTCCCAGGGAAAGTGTCACCTCACTGCTCGTGGATCATAATCACTTGAAAACGATACGGGTATAATTTTATCCCTAGGCGACCTCTGCTTAAGGACAAAGACACAGGGCGAGGAGACCTACAAACACCTAACAGGACCAGAGCTGGGGTCTGATTGTTCTGAAGTTCACAGATCCTTTCCAGATGCGCCCCGTCCCCCCAAGTTCCTTCCTGAGTCTTCTGCCTCTTTCTGGCACTTCCAAGAGAGCCTTCTTTGGGGGCTCAAGAGAGAAAGCGATGCCAGGCAAATACCCTGCTCTCCACCAGGGTGCATGAGGTCAGCTCACAGGAGACTCTGCGTTCTCTACACAGTGAGACCCCCACCCTGGTCAGGAGTGAGGCTAAGCATACTGACCGTCCCAGGAGACCCCCCCTGCCTGGCATGCGGACCCAGAGATGTGTAGCGGGGGCGTGCGTGTTGGCGGGCACGCACACATGTGGAGCCGGCCTCTGCGGGGAAATGTGTGCTGGCTTCACCACAGCAGTGAATTAAAGCAGCTGTTAAGGAACACCGCCGCCGTCACCCGCGCTCCATTCAGTGCTCCTAGGACCTGGCGGGCAGCACACAGCCACGTGCAGACTCCATTCGTGGACTGGCTTGCACCAAAATGACTTACCAAAAAGTGTGTTAAAAAAAATAAAAAATAAGCTGTGGTGGTGGTCTCTGCCTGTCACAAGCTGCTGTCTCGACAACGTTGAAGAAAAACACCTTTAAAACAAAGACCAGAAACTATGGCCACCACAAAGCACAGGCCCAGCTGGCCACGCGGTATCTTGGGGTTTGCAAACGTTTTTCAAGGATTGGGGGTGACTGCCAATTACTCAACGCTTTCAGCTACAACCTCGGTCCTGTGCCCCTTGACCTTCATGGTGCCACGTCATCATCATTGTGTTCCTCAGTGTGACCTGTGTGGTGCAGGCAAGGACAGATGGCACGGGGGACCTCTCACGCCACCCACGGCTGGCCCACTGCTGGGTTGCGCCTCTCTTGCCAGGAAGACCAAATAAATGCTCACAAGCGAGTGACTTCAGGCTTTTGCCAAAGTTTAAAAACCAGCACCCTCTTCTCCTGCCATCTTGGGTGGAATGTCAACTCCGGATTTACCAGAATAAAAATCAAAAGGAACCACCACCACCACCGCCGCCACACCACTTCTTCCTGCCCATCTCCCCAGTGCAAACAAACTTGTCTGAGGACCAGTGATTTGGGGCATTGCTTCCAAAGGTGCATTTATTCCAGTGGCAACTCGAGAAGAGCGTAAGATTAAAAAACAATCAAAACAGACGTATGGGAAAACAAAACACAACAACAACGAGCAGGACGGGTTGTGTGGACACGTGAACGTTCACAGAAACCTGGGACGTGTTCCCATCATTCCAGCTCCTCACCCACCGTCTGCCCAGAATCCCTACAGCGGAGTCCTTCACAGCTGGATCCATGACACACACACACACACACACACACACACACACACACACACACACACACTCACTCACTCACTCCTTCTGGAAACACTGCTGGGAAACAGTAGCTGAGAAGTTGAGAGCCGCCTGCTCTCCCGGCCAAGTTCAAGTATGTGCGGCTTCTCTGAAGGCTGAGATTCAAAACTAGGTGAGAGGACACGGTGCGTGATCACAGGCCTTGACGAATGATGCCACACAAATCACTGTATATATTATTATTATTATTACTATTGTTTAAATAACATCTGAGAAACATTTTCTTCTTTTTTGCAATGATTGACTTGGGTTCACTTCCATGCACTTGTTTTTCTAGCAGGGGAAAAGCCCTGGGGTTCTCTGCGGACAGAGCTCCCTTCTTGGACGGCTGGGGGCGTTCCTCAGGAGGACCCAGGGGCGCTGCGGGAGGAGGTCCAGTGGGTTGGCTGCTTTTCCTCTTGACCCCCATAACCTGATCCCCCCCCTCCTTCGGGGCTACTTGTCACTGGAGAGCCACCCAGACAGAGCGGCTGCCCCAAGAGGGCTGGCCGGGCCTGACTCCCGCTGGCCGCCCCGGGGCGAAAACCACTTGGTCCTCCCCTCTCTCCTTCCAACCCTGCCACGAGGACTGGGGGGAGGGGGTCCCTGTGCAGCCCCCCCACCTTCCTCTTCTAAAAACCAAGAGCCACCCCTCCCCTCCCCACCCCCAGAACCTGCACAGAGAGAGACAGAGGGGGACAGATGGGCACCCCAGAGCAGGTCACCCCTCAACTCATCCCCCAGGTCCTGCAGAGGGAGAGGGGGCACAGGTAGGTGCCCCAAGAGCAGACCAGCCCCCAACTCACCCCTTTACCCCCCAGAGCCTGCAGAGGGAGGGGAGCAGGGAGGGAGGGGAACATGGAGGGAGGGAAGGAGGGAAAAAGAGAGAGGAGAGAGGGGCACAGGTAGGCACCCCCTAGAGCGAGCCAGATCCCAACTCACCCCCTTATCTCCCCCAGACCCTGCAGAGGGAGGGGGGCCCAGGGAGGGAGGGAGAGAGGAGCACAGGTAGGCACCCCCTAGAGCAGGCCAGACCCCAACTCACCCCCTTACTCCCCAGACCCTGCAGAGGGAGGGGGGCCCAGGAAGGGAGGGAGGGAAGGAGAAAGAGAGAGGGGGGGGACCCCAGAGCGGACCAGCCCCCAACTTACCCCCTTACTCCCCAGACCCTGCAGAGGGAGGGAGGGAGAGAGGGGGGCACAGGTGGGCACCCCAGAGCGGACCAGCCCCCACCTCACCCC